CAATGTTAAATTTATTCCACAAATAATCCTAAGTACTAAAAGCATGAATTAGCTTAATTACTATTCACTTTGCGATGCCTGGTTGGCCTAACGGTTTAAGATGCTGACCGTGTCCAGGGACGTTTGTGTCACGTCATCACCCATCTCATTTCCTGTCAGCTCTCTACAAGAATGCCCTTCCAAAATCCTTAACAAATACGTGGAAAACAACCAATTTTATTTCACTATGACTTCACTTAAATCACATGTACTAAGTTTTACAAACTTACTTAACTGGAATTGCTTTTTAGTTTATAGCCTGTAGATTCATACATTGCAAAACAGAATCACAATCTTCATCATTAGCAATTTCCCTTACAAAAACTTGGTAGCTGTCTGGATAACATCACTCACCTCCTCACACGTAAAGTGCATCATTTTCATCAAATCTAATGTCTGTTTTACAGGTTGCGAAATCAACCTCACAGGTTTGAATGCTTGTCATTAAAATTATTTAACCATGCAGCTTTGGAACTGTTCTCGTGTCTCAACACATTGTCAGTTGTCACTGTTTTAGGATCATGAAAATCACATACAATGACTTAACATACTTTATGCTTACTTTATACTTTAAAGGAGTGAAATTCATTCATGGCAAACCCTTCTACCAGAGGCATCCTTTAAATTTAATGATAAGAAGGAACTTGCCCACTTCGTAAATGAGACTTTGTAGCTTGGTCAGAAAGTAATAACCAGTGAATGTTGACGGGAACAACATGGGGACACACCGGACAGTGTTAAACCATCATAGCCAATTGTACAACACAGGTGACCAAAGTTACACTAAAATCCTCTAAGCTGACCAAGATAAAGGGCTACCGATGCGTCATCCATGATACACAACATCAGATCATCCCGTCATATGGGAACATACATAGCTTCCAAACACATTAAGACTACAACTTGCTCCTATTTTATATACACGGACCACTGTCTACACCTATCAAAGTGCTTTCATCCCTTTGTTCTTCTATTCCCAAAGAAAGATTCACATTGTCGTTTTCACATATGATCCACACAGATGTCATGTCTGATGTTTTACTTTTAGGCAACTCATGGGAATGATTTGGAGGGAAGAGTACAATATTAAAATGCTTATATGGTGTTTTTAGTTTTAGTCTAGTCTTTTTTGTTTGACTATTTGATCACTTGCTCTTTGATTATCATAACTGTCTCTAACTACCAAGACTGTTTTGCTCCCAAAAGCACAGATGTACAGTACACAGTTGACAATGTTTTACCAATATACAATAAAGCAACTTTTATATCACGTCAGTGCTTCAATAAATGACCAAGACTGTGTTCAAAGAGCACAAGACTTTGGGGTTTTAAGGGGAGCTGTACATAATTAACATGATTTTTAGTATTCCAGACACAATAGTATAGAGTGGCCATCAAAGCTTATTAAATGACAGCAGGATGTAACTCCACAGAAGCTTCTCTAATGATGTAAGGTTTCTCACTCAGCCTTTGATGAGTCTCAGAGCCAGACTATCAGTGTTCCAGAGGCTAAGCAGCACTCTCTACAGGATGGATGCAGTAGTAACACTTCACACATCTGACAAGTACGACAACACCCTACAAACACGTCACTAATCCTTCATAGTTTCAGCGATGACCCTCCCAGCCTTTAATGCACAATGCATAGACAGTGAGTAGATAGATCTCCATTAAGATGGCTGCTTCTACTCATTATACTGGTGTGACACATAAGAATGCTTATGGTCTGTAAATCAAAGTAATTTCACAGTGTTTTAATAGAATCTAAAATGCCAAAACTGAATTTAGATGATTCCCTAGAATAATACAAAAAATGTTCCCTACAATTTTAGGTGTTGTTATCGCTTAAAATGTGGTTCTCTATTTTACAACTAGAGATTTTTCATTATAAAGACAACTTCTGCCTTGCTGAAATACTGCTGCATTCATGGCATTTTGGAGCTGGGCAGTTCATGCTGTCGAGTTTAGTAAAACACGTTTTTAATAAATAAACCTTTTGTAATAACTTCCAGTGATATCCTATACAAAACAAAGAACAAGAAAATGCAGAACAAAATGTTTTAAAAAAAAGCAATTAAAAGCAATTTACTTCCATCTATTTACACTACAGATGTTAAGTAAACTATATGCCAGAGACACTAGATAACTTGAAACTCTGAACATCTTGATAATTTTCTACTATAGTACTACAGTAGTCACCTAAAGTGGCTTGGTAATAGCTCTTAGTATGTTGAATCTACTAGTCTCTATTAAGTACATTAGTAAATCAATAAAAAGTTGCAAAGAAAATGCCAACTTCAGACGTGCCATGAATGTAACATTATTCCCTTTACAGTTCTTCCTGCAAGTGAACTCACTCCTCTCTTAACTACCGGTTAACTTCTATGGCTCTTCTCTGTCTCTGTCCATCTCTCTGTGTGTACATCGCGTTCCCAACTAAGATCACTGTATTGCTGTCAAAGAGTTGGAATGAAACACAGGAAGAGGATAGACGAGAAGGAGGCAGGATGAGCTGAGCCTATGATGAAACTGTCCGACACTGACTATGACAGGACCAACGCACACACACAGCTCATCCTTGTTTTAAAAATATTAGCATAGACCACCAAAGCACAATAAGAGTTGGTTTCATTCTAGCACAGAGAAATTCTTCTATGAAGCTGAACAGCATACCGTTTTTATTTTAGCGTGCTGATTTGTGTTTGTGAATATACTGTTTGTGTGCTGATTTCTGTTCTGAGTGTGTGTGTGTGTGTACATCCACACCAACAAGCATGTGTGCTTTCCTATCAATATCTGTGCTTACGTGTAAGAGTGTTTGTGTGTGAAGAAAGTTAGCAGGTCTCACAGATAGGCCTTTTCCACCAACATGGAACTAGCTCCGTTCTGGTTCGCGCACTGAATTTTGAACCGTTTGGAGAATTTCGACCAAAAATAAACTGGTTCGCAACCCGAAAGGTGGAGCAGGAACCAAAAAATATCAGGTTTTCCTTGACCTGAAGTGCGAACAAAAATGGGCGTGTCATATTCCAATAGCCCTCCATTGATGACGCATCCTGGATTATAATGTTCTGCTCAAAACTGGTTGGGCTACTTTGCTAGATAGCATTAGTGTTCCAAGAATCTTGAACAGAACTGGTTCAAGAACCAAAGCTAATTTGGTCAAAAAGGGCATAGAAGATTCAAAGATGTACCGCCTAGTGGGAGGACTTAAACTAGGATGTGGCTATGTAGCCCCACCCACTCTCCACATGACCAGGAAATGCTACATGTGTGAGAGAAGGAAGGATCTGTCTGTCCCTAATAGCCACATATGAACTGTAAATACTAGACACAGCTCAGGGTGACTGCTGAGGATCCTCACAGGAGTGTCTATAGGTGTATGAGTGGGACTGAAGATTAAATGGGGGGTTACTGGATCAAGCGATTAGACAGTGTGGGAACCAAAGGGTTATGGTGCAGGAGAGCAGGGTTGCATGTTCTGTGGCAGAAACAGTCTTAAACAGAAAATTTATACTAAAGGATTTAGTTCCTTTTGCCATGCAAAGGGTCACATATGTGAGCTTATTTAAAAGGTCAAGGGTTACTAAGTCTATACGAATATTGTCTTAAGGCCCGATCATACCACAAAATGGTATGGTGAAATTCATCCGTGCCTCGATATACTATGTAGTTTTAGTTGCTTGGCGAAGTAGATTCAAGATTGAAAACTAGTGCAAGTCAGTCCCAAAAAAGATATTTCGTTCTAGGACTGTCATTTCATTCACTTACTGAAGAGAGCAAGCCTGCTAATCAAGCAAGCTTGTTAGCACAGTTGCTAATGGGAAAATATGTTCAGACCATTTATTCAAAAGTCTCATAATTATTACTTTAGAACTATTCCTCTTTTGTGGAGCTGTTTATACTCTAAACAGAGGTAGTTCATAATACTACCGTAGCTTCCTACATTTTGGACAGCTCTCCGATCCCTCAAAGCACAGCGCATATAAGATGGCTTGACATTGGTCAATGGTGGAAATTAGCTTGTCAAAGCAATGTCACAGTTTTACTTTGCCAGCATGAGCAAAACCACTGATCATGACGATTCTTCCGCAATAAATTGATTTTAATCCCTCCTTCAGATTGGCTCACTACTTCAGAGTCAAATGCTGTGATCTTAACTTCGAGATCAAATACCTGTTAGATGCAAATAATTTTTTGAGCCAAGACCACCCAGTGAAACAACAGAGCTCTCCCATCACTTTACGCCTACCTTTCTTGATGATTATCATGCACTAACCACATAAAGTCATCTGCAAGTACTCTCGATAAATTCTTCTTTTATTGAACACGAATTGTCTAACATCCTAATAGTTTCTGACTTCTCTGTACTGATATCTTTAGATCTATTCCAAACTGTATCCCCTCTACTCTATATAAGTCCTTGTCCTCTGCATTGATCACTGTTAATTGTGAGCATCAAGTCCAGAGATAAAGAAGCAGTATTGTAATACATTTGGTGGAGACAAACTGGTGCAATGATACCAAGAGATCTAATGGGAAATAATGATTGATGAGTGAGTTGTAGAATTACCTTTAATTAGATAATGTGCAGTGCTGTAGATACTGTCTATTTGAAAATAATGGCTGGCTAGCTGGCTGGGAGGCTGGAACGTGTTGATCTGAAGCAGACTTGACAGTATTTGCCCTGCTGCTGGCCAGTAGCAGGCCCTCAGCTGGTTAGTGTGGTCTGGAGCTAAATGGACCAGGACTGGGAATGAGGTAGGGCATAGGTCTGCTAACAAGGTTGGAAGATCAAAGTGGTTTTGAATTGTAAAAGCTTATAATAGAGACCATAGATTAGCCTTAGAAACTGAGTTCTGAAGCAGGGTCTTTGCGCTATAAGGACACGTGATAAAACAGTAATTGTACTCATAGGTGGAAATATTCTGTGAAAAAATTGGCTATGCTCAATATCCATACAGCATTGACTACGATAGTGGGTTTATTGCGTTTAAGGTTATTAAATATGGGATTGAAATCCTCTAAATCAGTGATTACAAGGGAATTTTATCAGTAGAGAAGCTGGTGGATCCCCACACAGAGAAACACAGACAAACAGCAAGTGCTGTGGTGGGCAGGGCCAAAGGGCAACCAGAGGGCGTAAAGAGGTCAAAGATCAGGGTTGGTAGCAGGAAGCTGGCAGGCGGACCTCAGAGAAACACTGAGAGACAATTGGTCAGTTCAGTACTGCGGTGGGCGAGATGAAGGGAAGAGGGAAGTGACTGCGCCGTGGTAGGTTGGTTGGTCGGTTGATTGGCAAGTCGGCCTGCGCCATGCGTGTCCAAACTCTACACGTCACTGGGACTCAATCTGTGGAGAGAAAAAGTGAGAAACGTGATGCTTGGACCGCAGCAGTAGCTGGACTCTAGCTAATATGCTCTCACTGTCTGGGGCAAATTAATATGAATTATGGGCCAAATTAAACATTCCTGGTTTTTTATTGCATTAACACTACAACCATCCATCAATTAGGCCGAGCTTGGCAACCGCACTGGGTGGTAGAAGTCATCCCTCTGAAGTCAGAAAATCTAGAGGCCTGCTGCAGTGGAATTTATCCATTAAGACAGGCTAATCTTTACTTTGTAGGTTCCATAATTTCATTTAGCTGCAAAGTGTGTGCTATTTTTACCACTCCACTCCATCAGACACATAGCAGAGAACACTTATACACACAAATCCTTGCGTTGCACGCACGATATTTACTCATTTACTGTCCATTATCTCTGTAATTGAAAGATTACTAAACCCCTGAGCAGCGATTGTCAAGTCATAGCTTAGCAACCATAACTAGGCATGTCAGGCCTGTCAAGTTTTGGATTTCTACATGTTAAAGCAAAAACTAGAGAGCAAAAGAGTATGGAATGGATTGTACCGTGCTTAGCTAACTAGCTTACTGCAGTAGCAATCTAGTGTTATTTCAAAAAGGAGCTAAATATATTATTTATGGCCTTGGCCTTCACCATCTTGAAATCAAAATATGTGAAAATAGGACCCAGGTTTAAAAATACCGAAATATCCTTTAACATGGGGGTTTATGTGGCCAGCCTCAAGTGGCCATTCCAGCAACTAAATTTTTTGGCACTTTTTAACTTTTCAGTCCACAGGTTGCCGTACTTGAGAACTTCGTCATCGTCATTAAAAAAAACAACAGAGCTTTACACATTAAAAAGTCAGTTTTCAACTAACTCATAGAGCTTTAACCTATTGCAAACAACAGTTGCCATTTCAGCCAACCAAATCCATGATTGCCGGCTATAAATTTTTCTAAAATCAAGGACCCATTGTTTAGAAAAATTGCTACGAATTTTGATTGGTAAAACTGCCATGCTTAAAATTCTAAGCTACATATGTGCAAGAATGGAAAGATTGATAAGTGTAGCAACAAAAAGGAGGGCTTCGCAAATGGACAGTTGGCTAAAGCACTTCATTGCTTTTAAAACTGATTGTTTGTATTTGTTTGCACCTACTTGTCTCAGTGATGCGTTTGTCTATGCTAAGGGGCTCCCTCAGGCCGTCACCCCCAAAAGGAGTAGGTGTGGGGTCCTTCACTCCATTCTCCTTAGTTCCTCCTGGTGCTGTTGCCTTAGCAACGCCTGCTGGTCCTGTTGTCGGAGCACCACTTGGGGGTGAAGATGTCTTCTCCTCTGTTTTCTCCTCCTGTAGCCAAATATAGAAACACAAGGGCAGGGACACACACACAAAGAACACTATGTTTTTTTTATAGTGCTACCACGCCATGTAGTGGTGTCCACCAGTAAAAGCACAATGAGTCAGCAGAATAGGAGAAGTTAACTGTCTATCAACTGATGATGTTAATGACTGTGTTAAAGTTTGACCTTGTGTCCGTTGGTCTGTCCGTTGCCTGGCCCCACGTTATCCAGGGATCCAATCTTAGACTTAGCTTTAATGTTTAGCTTATGGGACTCAATCTTCACATCACCTCCACCTGAGGTAAAAGAAGGTTAGTATGAGACCAGCATAGGATAAAGTAGCGTTTGAAGGGAGTAGAATCGAAGTTTTAAGATCCACCTGGCTTATGTTTGATGTTGTCCTTGGAGCCACATTTGGATGTCACCTTGCTCAAATCAACCTTCTTATTTAGGATCTGCACCTAAAGAAGAGGAGAGATCATAATGTAGCCTCTTTATACTAACTCATAAAGATGCCGCATCCAGTACAATGCATCTATACTTCAGCGTCCACTCTATCCACTTTAGAAAATCACTCTCATCCATTATGATGCACCCGGTGCATTTAAAAAAGGATAACATTCAGTACAAAACAATGAGTATTTGGGAAAAAGGATACAACACAGCAAATGCTGGACTATCTACCCATGCTTCATTCCCTGCTTTGCCCTGTTTAATTGTTACTGAAGGTGCCTTTTTGTTTTGTTAGGCTGGTAAAGGATGCTCCATTAATGCAAATAAATTGAGACAAGCTATAATTGGAAGATGGGAGAAGGCAGTTCTTAGACCGGTGTCACATGATGAGAGTGTTTGTTCAGGATCACAAGGAATCATCCTGATTAGTCTGACAGTAGCTGGCACTGATGGATTTTAAGAACCGGTGACCTGTGTGATGAGATCAATCATATTTGAAAAACAACAGTACGTGGACTAAAATTTTATTAGAAAACGAACTAGATTAGTTCTGATTGCCTGATTGACATTAGAGCTCTCCCTCATTAGAGGATGTCTGGCAGTTAAAATACTAATGACACGATTTTATAATATAAACACAAATATTTGATCATTTTAGATTGAGGAAACACACCAGTAAAATTTGAATATCGGTGCAACTAGCATAGGACAGTATTTGTTTGTATTATGTGGAACATGCTTTGGAACATACTTTTACATGTGTTGTACATTTGATTGCATTATTGTTTTACATTTACATGTAAACAACAACATAACAATGTACCGAGCACCTAATGTAATCAAAAAAATGGACAAGACAAAGTAAAGACAATTGAGTAGCATGACAAAACATAATTACATGATATAATTATATAGTAATGTATTTTATAAGATCATGCTGCATCAATATATATAGGGATATGTACAATCCACATTCCAACTGTTGGAGTTCCATTTTAATGTTACATATGTTCTGGCAATAATTAAGATTTCTGTAAGCTTAAGAGCATTTTCACGACAACTGTTTAAATTGATGATGTGTACCAAATGGCATATTTCAGGGTCCACAAGGAAATTAATCCTATGGATTTGTTATATGAGATTACAGGTTTCTTTGGTATTAAAACTAAACAGTTGCTGACATTGTGATATGTGTGACCGGTCTAGCCTATAGCTTTATTTAATGCCTCTACTTGACCATTTCCAGTATAGCAGCCCAAGGATGGAGTATGATAGTGCTGCAGGTGTTTGGAGCAGATGGGAACAACATTTAGAAGGGTGGGCAGAAGGACCTGTGGTCAGTTCATTTTAAGTAAAATCAATCCTAAATGAGCCGTAAATGTGCCAATTACGGTGCATTTATTCTTAATTACACTGAAAATGATAACCTGTTCATGTAAATGTTTGATATTTGGAAAAAAATTGCTTTCTGTATTGTTGTAGTTGACGCTTCTCGCCCTGATGGATTCTAAAATCTGTGTGCAGAGATTAAATTAGGAATAACACTAGATTTGATTCCAGACTGATTCCAATGTACTGTATCCTGTAGCCAGACTAATTTGATTTCTTACCAGTAAGTATCCAATCTTGAGTCCTTTTCAAATAAGGATCATCCTATATCATTGTGATTAAGTTTTAAGAACTATGTCCGCTTCTGCATAAATACACTCTAATCAGGTGTAAGCGATTTACTATGCATCTAGCCATGGTGAGCCAAATGTACATACCAAGACCACAAATTCATCTTCCATCCCTTTGTGACAAATTAGGTATTTTTGTGGCTGGGATAAAAAGGAGGTTCCCAATTGAGCCAGACAGCCAGAATGAGGCAAAATTAGCAGAAAATGTGATATGCATCCACCCTAACTAGAGACTGCCTCCAGCGCCAGCAGTACTTACATTGCCACCTCCAGGGACATGTTTGATATTGTCCTTGGAGCCACAGCGGGACGTGACATGGCTGAAGTCCAGCTTTTTGTGCACTATCTGAACCTAAAGACAGGCAGGCAGACACACAGACAAGCAAGGAGGTGAGGAGACAGAGAGGGAAAAGAAAGAAAGAAAAAAGAAAAGTATGACAGGCAGACAGAAAAGGGCAGCAGAGAAGAGCAGATCAGCTGGCAGCTTGAGTTAACAGGAAACAGAGGAGCCTTGCTCTGTTAGTATGGAAGAGATTCTGTCATTCAAATCAAATGAGTTGAGTGATTGGCTGCATTATGTGAAAACTTAATCAGAACATGGCACTGTAAAAATGGTTTTGGGATATTATGCAACAAAATCATAATGGTTCAAATGAGGGTACTGCTAATTGGACAGATTCTTTTAGGAAATGTTTTTGAATTCTTAGAAAAGTAAATGCTGTACCAAAGGACGAGGATACCAACTGAGTAACAACAGAGTGCTTCCATAAACAGTATTAACCAAAAACGGTCAAACACAGGACAAGCACTGGAAGAGGAGCTAGAGCACATGCAAAAGAATATTTCACAGGACAATCAGTGATTGTGTGTTAAAGTGGTTAACACATGCTCTTCTAAGCAGACAACAAGATGTGGAAGACAAAACATGTTCCTTTTACTTCAAGTGGTACATTCTAAAAAACAACACTCATTAGCCTGTTGTTTTGCCCCGCAGCCAGTCCCACATTTCTAAGAAAAATTACTGAACTGCAAATTCCGAGTATGGTTTGCCAGGATCCCTGGATTTTCTTAAAGCAAAACTCAAGAGACATGGATTTTGGCCCACTGGACCTTAATATTGAATGATGACCAAAATCAATAATGTGGCATGTGTTGAATGCCATCTCTTTGATATTTCGACTTTCACCTATGTCTACAAGCAGGGTAAATAATTTCACAGCAAGGGTTATATCACAAAGACAACAAACATAGCCAAAGTGAAAAAGAAGGAAAACATAAATGAATGAATGAACAAACAAATAAAATCATCTCGGGTTCAAAAGGGACACCATAAATACAAAAAGTACTAATTAAACGATCAGATCTGAAGATCTGAAGCATAAACCAGCAAGATGAATATCTGTGTCCAAGATCCACATCTCGGTCACTGTTAGAGGCAAGTGTCTCTGATGCAAAAACAGCAACCAGGCAAAGTATCCATTTGTGTTTTGCCAACAAATATTGAATATAATTCTCTGCAGGGTAGTGTACTGTAAAAATGTCAAACCATTCATTCAAATCCTTCGGCATTTTTGAAAATAAAAACAGACAAGAAAAAAAGACCCAAAAAAATACCCCAAAACACAACATGGCATACACTATCTGGCGTCATAGGACAACACTGACATTATTTGAAGAGTAACAGTACAAACTTTTTTATTTGAAGTTTCAGGTGAACAAGCAAAGCGAGCATAAAAGATGATGGGGGCACTCCTGCTCAGGCATGGGAGCAGTGGGAGAGAGAAAGTTGTAAACACGGAACATGCTGGATTCAGTATGGGACTCTAGGAGAGTACAAATTGTGTAAGTAGTTATATGACCATGCATGGGGTGGTAACATCGGTGAGGTGTTTCAATGCTGGATAAACCTCCAAGATTTGAAAAGAACGAAAACCGATGTGGAGGTCGCTCTGTTTCTACTGGACAGGCGAGTAACGTTAGTGTTGCTGTTTCACACAAACGATGGGTCAGCACTGTCTTGTTTGTTGTCATGTTTGTGATGTCTGATCCCAACTGGTTAGCTTTGTCAGCTTTACCACAGAGGTCAGTGTGTGTATGTGGTGGAGTGAGTGTGTGTGAATGGGTACCCGTTCGGTAGAGAGAAACAGATCAGCAATATGTCTTGTTTAGTAAATGTACAGTTTAAGTTACAATGACCGGTGAATAAAGACCGCAGCTTTTCAAGACTAAAGCGGAGCACCCATGTGTAGCTTGCCAACTGTTGAAAGAGTGAAGGGGGGTTAGCCCAGAAGTTACCATCGACTTCAGCTCTGGAGAAAAATAAGTCTCCCCTGTACTTCCTGACTCACTGTATTTTTGTAAAAACTATTTCAAATAACTTGCTAGTTTTTTTACTCTGTTCTTCTAGAGTACTGCACAAAACCTGCCACCTTGCTGAGGTTAACTTGCCCTTGGCCAGCAGACGCTGTGGATTCTGCCATATTTCAGCGTAGAGTAGTAGCTCAGAGTAGTACAGGTTGCATGAATTTGGGGAGCAGAGCGTCTGATGGGCACTGAAAGGAGATGTGTGTTTGTTTGGCAGTTGAGTTCAAATGTCAAATAACTCTCTGCAGAAGTATCCCTTTAAGGTGATGAACACCAGTGCACTGTTCACATGTTGAGCGTTCACATGTGGTTTACACATGTAACATTTTCGTAAGCATTGCACTCTTTAAATGTGTTTCCCCATTATTTTGACCCCTTATTACCCTGTTACATACATTGCACTCTAATATTACCCAGATACACCCCCAGTTACTACCAAGCTATTACTTGGTTATTACTTTGGCAATTGCATGGTAGTAATTATTACCTCTTTATTATCAAAGTATTACCCCACTATTACCATGTTATTATCAAGCTGCGTAGGAATTGTTTAATGTCGATTTGTTCATGCATGATTGTTTTTAATAAACCAGCAGTTATTTCAAGACAGTGTGATCATTCACTCACACATAAAGGAACCATATTCTAAAATTTTCATTTTGACCACCCACTCCTGCCTGCAGCAAAGTTTATATCGCCAGCTCCCGCGAGATTTGCACTGGGTCCCGCGGGATCCAAATCCCAATGCACTCTCTAGTGTAAGGGTGTAGATGGTAGGGACTCACTCTGGTCTTGGCAGCAGGGGTGGAGGGATCGGAAGTCTTGTTGTTTGGAGTGGAGGAGACCTGGGGAGACAAGCAACCCCTAGTCAGTACAACCTCCAACAAACCACATGCCACAGCACAATAAGGTCAAAGAGCAGGTGGCGGGGTGGAGACAATTGAGGGGGTACTGAATAAATGGGTTAGTAGCTGGGCCAATCAAATGAGTGTATAGGTTGTTACAGTAATTCAAAAGAGAAGCATATTATTGTATAGAATATAACAGCATGGATCAAATTCACAAGGCAAATGTTGACAGTGTTTCCCCTATATTCATTCAGAAGTGGCGTTGTGCCTCTGCTGAATTATGACCGCCACTGCTAAAATTTCCCATGATCATTAAACTATATGCTAAGTAGCATATAGTTTAATGATCTAGGTTCCTCTCCTGGTTCTTCACAGAACATCTACGTGAAAGGTGCTGTTATAAGAGCAGCGTAACTCCTGTAAGGGATCGGGACGTGTGCATAGCGAGTGCTTGATTGTCCGAGGGCCAGAAAGTGACAGTGAATGCAAGTGGAGGAAAATATTCTGCCAGTAAATGTATGTGTCAGTTACAGTGTGTCAGCTTCTCAGGACAAAGAAAAGTCTGTCTTTTGATTCCCCAACTGCTGGAAAAGTTAAGCTGGTTAGTGCTAGCTAAATCCACGATGTGCGGAGATCTGTCCTTACATCGATGACAGATTAATCATGAAGCGGTCATGTTCAAGATCATGTTTGGGTAAAAAACTAGCCTATCTAACCGGGATTTTAAAGTTTTTAAAGATGTACATGCATTCAGATATGTTCTTTGATATCGACAGAATGAATGAGGAAATGAAACGGTGTGTCAGACAGCCGCCTCAGGCTCTGCAGGAGGGGAGGAGTCAGAGAGAAACTGACGGTTTTCCAACTTATCCTGTGAACCTAACCTCCTCACGAGGGTTTATCACCCTCCCAGATATGTGTAACTGCAAATCAGATGTACTGTATCAGATGGATAATGGAAACCATTCAATAAACTGTAAACTGGAGCAGATGTTTTCAAAACATATCAATGAATTACAGTAGGTTAGTACCAATAAAATACAGTTTATATGTTAGTGAAAGACACTATCAAATGTTAGCACAAAGAAGGGTAAAAGGATAATTACAAAACCAGAAAAACAACATCAAATATCACATTACTGGAGTAAGTACTATTGTTCAGAAAAACACCAGTCAAATTCCTAAATACTGAGGATGGAAAGGTTGGAAGACCAATAAGCTCCTGTTGAATGGAAAATGTTAAGTCATCGACATATATTGTTTTATTCAGTTTGCGTGGACTGGAAACACAGAAAACACCTCCAAGGTTAGGGGTATATATATATATATATGCATGCCAGCACCTCTGAAGACTTTGTATCTTCTTAGTTAGTTTGTGTTGTTTATTTGTTTTCATTTGTTGTTCTTGGTGTGAGTATTTGATGAGAAGATCGATATCACTTTCATATAACTAAATGCATGGAAAACAATAACTTTTTGTACTGTATGTATGCACTGTATGTATGTACTGTAAGTAATTTGCTAAATAATTAAAATGTATCATAATTTTTAAATTGTAAAGATTTTGGAAGATCTTTCCTTCTGAGAGTTAGATGATTAGATTAATATCATTCTCATGTCTGTACATTTACTACAAAGCTGGAGCTGGGATATATATATATATAAATATATATACACAGCTAGCCTGACTCACTCCAACATTCAAAAATAAATCTACCAACACTGTTAAATGAAAATCAACAAGATAGGTGCTAATTACTAATCTTTATGTGTTGCCAGGTATAATTCCTAATGTTGAAGAGAGCCAGGCTAGCCAAGCATAAAGCAGGCAAACCTTTCCCCAAACAAACTGTCACACAGGTGTCTGAGCCATGTCAGTCCATGACATGATATGTACCTTTATAACAGTGGAATATAGAAAGCATGCACAGGATCAGTCAGTGAA